ACAGTGAATAAGGAAGATTGTAGAAGAATTGATGCATTTGAGTTATGGTGTTGGAGGAGAATATTGAAAGGGCCATGGGCTGCCAGAAGAACAAACAGATCCGTTTTGGAGGAAGTGCTCCTTGGAGACCAAGATGGCCAAACTTCGTCTGTCATACTTCGTACATATTGTCAGGAGGGATCAGTCACTGGAGAAGGATATCATGTTTGGTAAGGTGTGGGGGTCAGAGAAAAAGAGGAAGACCCCCAATGAGGGGCCAAGTGGCAGCATCAATGAACTCAAGCATGTCAACAGTAGTGAGGTTGGTTCAGGATTGGGCAGTGTTTCGTTCTGTTGTGTATAAGGTCACTATGAGTCCGTACCAACTTGATGGCACCTGACAACAACAACAATCAAATTAATTCATCTGTTTCTCCATATTTTATGTGTGAAGTTGACATTTGCCTGGAAGACCCTGGACCTGATACCTGGAGAGCATCCCCTGGCAAGGGAGGACCACCAGAAAGCATTTTGCTCCCCTTTGTCTTTCCAGTGGACCCAACAGTCCTGTCCAAAAAGCTTTCATGTCTCAGAACTCATCCATGAGCTTCTTACAACTAACATCTGGAAATCACAAAACTGTGATGGACAGGGGAGGAGGAGCATTGGGCCGCCTAATGACCTGTCCTCAGACCTGGAGCGGCATGGCCTGGAGCCGGGAAGAAAAGGTCAGTACTACCGGGCAGGTCTGTAGGAAGCTATAGGTCACCAAGTGGACATGGACATTGTCTATGAGAGACACTGGAGCCAGCAAAGTGTTCTGAGCTGGAGAGACAGTTCCATTCCCCAGAGAATGAAAATCCGTCACTTTGGGGCTGGGTCAGCCTTTGCTCAACATGTCCAGAAGGCAGCCTCTCTCTGCAATATGTAGCACTGCATCTGGTACCTGCATCTGAAAGTCACTAAGATCCCACAGGACCTTCAGGTGGTAACAAGATGCCGTGGTGAGCATATGAGTATGGATGCCCCAAGAGAACATGAATGTCCCATGTAACCACATGACCCAGGAGACCATGGATAACCCCAGGAGAACATGAATACCCCATAAAACCATGGATGACCCAGGGGACCATGAATGGTTCATGAGACTACAAATGACCCAGGAGACCATGGGCAGTCTAGTAGACCACGGATAACCCATGAAAACCAAGGATGGCCTGTGAGAGCACAGATGCCCTAGAATACCACGGATGCCCCAGGAGACCACAAGTGACCCAGGATACCATGGATGATCCAGGAGCTCATCCTGGGAGACCATAAATGGTCCATGAGACCACAGATGCCCCAGGAGACCATGGATGATCCAGAAGCTCATCCTGGGAGACCATAGATGGTCCATGAGACCACAGATGTCCCAGGAGACCATGGATGATCCAGGAGCTCGTCCTGGGAGACCATAGATGGTCCATGAGACCACAGATGCCCCAGGAGACCATGGATGTTCCATGAGACCATGAGCAGCCTAGGAGACTACAGATACCCCAGGAGACTACAGATGCTCCAGGACACTATGAATGACCCAGGATATCATAGATGGTCCGGGAGACCATGAATGGTCCATGAGAGCAGAGATGCACCAGGAAACCACAAAGTCACAGCAGCAGTGACAGAACTTCAGTGTTCCTTATGATACCAGGCAGCAAGGCCAGAACCACAAGTTGGTAGAAGAGTTCAGCTTCAGCCTCATTGCCCTGGTTGGCATGCCGGGTGGGCAGCCACGCGCAGACTGCACATCTGCGGCTGGAAGGAGCAGTACCAGCATGTTAACCAAAGTCCCTTCTCCCAGCAGCCTGGCAAGTCAGCAGCCATGCCCAGGGTTTCCTTATGTTGTCAAGCTGTTGGGGATGCCACCCTATGACCTCTTCTCCATTCAGCGTTTCTAGCTCTTGTAGACATCCCTTCTCTAGATGATGTGGTGGTGTATGTGTCGTATCTGGGTGGTGTAAATGGTTAAAGTGCTCCACTGCTAAGTAACAGGCTGGAGGTGGGACTGTACCCAGAGGTGCTGTTCCTCTACTCAATACACATCGGCTCTGCCCTTCCCCATCCCAGACTCTCCCCTCAGCCACTTGCCCTACCCACCCCTTGGGCTAGCCTCATCTCTTACAAGCCAGGCTCTGCTCAGAGCCAAATATCAAAGGGCTTCAAAAAAAGTTTGTGGAAAAATGGAAAGACCAGATCGTGGAATTTTCTGACAAACTCTTCGAAGTCCCCTTGTATACACACGTATACACACACTAACGGGTTTTCAAAAAAGTTAATGGAAAAATCCCAACATCCTTTAGTTCCATTCTTCCATAAACTTCTTGAAGTCCGCGCGCGCGCACGCGCGTGCGTGTGTGTGTGTGTGTGTGTGTGTGTGTGTGTATGTAGTAAATTCTTTAGAAATAACTGCATTGGAAACTACATCACAAGGGGGCTTCAAAAAGTTTGTTGAAATGTGGAATGAAAAGATAATGGGATTTTTTGCTTCTGTTCTGCCGCTACCTTTTCCTGATTCCCAACTGTCTTGGGGCAAAGGTCAGGGCCCTTAACTTGCTTATCCCAGATCACCCTTCCCCTCCCTGCCTTCACCTTGATTATTCAAAGGAACATCCATTGTGAGAATTAACCCTGACCTCTGGCGCTGGACTCTGGGGTTGGCTGATCTGCCTGCTGGGTTCTGGGGGGCTGGCTGTCCCTCCTGTGTCCCCTACCCCCCATCTGTCTCCTGGGTGCAGACAGATAAACCTCAGGCATCACTAACAAGTTCGTTGGATCTAGGGAGTCAAGGGGCTTGGGAAGGACACAGGAGGTGGCAGGGAGATGTTCCCAAGAGCTAACCCCTGACCAAGTCCCCTGGTGGGGAAGACTGCCCAGATGGGAGCCTCTGTGGAAGTGAGGGTACACAGTCCTGCTGGGCAGCCAGCTGCTGGCGTAGGAAACATGGGGGGCAGCTGGGACAGAGGTAAAGAGGCCAAAGATAGGACCTACCTCTTCCCTGCCCACTGCTCCAATAACTGCTGTTGGGTACCAGTGTGTCTGTCTCCCCGTTTGTCCTCTCAGGAGACCCACAAGTGTCCCAGCACCTAGGTTAGGTGCTGGGTCACCAGGGTCAAGCTGAGGGGGAGCATGTCTTGATAAACCAGTCCACTTGTCTAATTGTAGTGCTTCTAGGGAGGTCAGGAAGGGTCCCTGGGGGCCTGAACACTGGCAGGACCAGGGGGTCCTCAGATTCACCTTAGAGTCTGGCATTCAGTTCAAAGAGGCCAGACAAGCTGGTTCCCTGGGGGCACTTAGACCATGGGAAGGGGTGGCATCCTCACTGGGTCCTCCCACGCAGCCTCCCCCTCCTTCAGGGCAGGTGGGGCTGGGGGCGGTGGAGCCAAGCAGACACCATTGCCTTTGTCTCTGTTTGCTACTGGAGTGGCCCCCTGTGGCCTGGAGAGGTGGGGCTGCCCAGGAGAAGGGCGGCCCTTCCTTTTAGCGGCCTTCTTTGGGGAGGCTGTGGTGGCTCCGAGGCCCGTGGGCGGGCACCTTGCAGATAAGACATTAACAGTCCCTCGGACTCACCCCTGCAGATTCGCTGACGTTTTCTTTCAGCCCAGGTGCTCGGGTGAGGTGCCAAAGGTTCCCTATAAAGCGGCCAGGGCACCGACTGGTGGCCACTTGTCCTCTGCCTACTGCCCTGTATCCAGCCAGAGACCACCATGGTGAGGCTTGTGCTGCCCAACCCAGGCCTGGAAGACCGTATTCCATCCCTGGGGGAGCTAGATACCATCGAGAAGGAAGAAGCCTCCTCCCGGCCCAAATGGGACAACAAGACGCAGTACATGCTCACCTGCGTGGGCTTCTGTGTGGGTCTGGGCAACGTCTGGCGTTTCCCCTACCTCTGCCAGAGTCACGGAGGAGGTAGGACCCGGGGTTCACGGGGAGGGGTCAGATCCATGCCAGGGCAGAGGGAGGATGGGTGGGGTACCTCGGTACTCCTGGTGTAAACAACAGACTCACACCTAGGTGAGCACCCCCACGGGGCTCCCAGAGGGCAAGGGGATGTCTGGAGGGATGGGGATTGTGAGATTGTCCAGCTGGTGGCTGTGGGGAAGACGGGCACCAGCCCCCACCCCCACCTCCGTGTGTGCACAGAGCACACTGCCCACTGGCCGGGCACCCCTGTGGGCAAGAGTGGGAGGGGAGGACACAGACTCGGTCGGAGGATACGGACCACCACAGATACAAACTCCTGGGGTCCTGATGATTGGTTCTGTCCTAACCCACTCTCCCTCACCCTATGGGCTGCAGAGAGGAGGCCCCCTCCAGGACCCAGGAGTCTCCTCAAGGACAGATTGGGGCCCCTCAAATGTGTACACTAAGACTGCTTCCACCTCCAGGGCTGGGGCCTCAGAGGGGTGACCACAGCCCCCTCTGCTGGACCCCTCCAGAGGCTTCCTCTGGCCGTGGACTGGGGACGATGTGCCCCAAGTTGTTTGAAGGTTGTGACCATCAGTAAGCTGCCGTTGAGGCGGGTGGGGTGGCTCGCTCGCTGCTCTCTGCATCAGGATGGACAGCTGGAGGATTTAAACTTTCTGAGTGACACCTGCTGTCTGCCCTCCAGATTTCGTAGAAGTCATTTGTTTTTCTAACTGAAGACACGGGCTTTGTAAGAAGAGCTGACAAGGCTATTCCCAGGGAGCTGCACCTCTCCCTGCCAGGGCTATCAAGGGTGAGCTTTGGAGTAGCTGGGACACATGCTTTATAAACTCTGGGTCCAGTCTGCACTGACTGAGCAGGCAGAGAGACTCTGGCCACTTGGGCTTGTTCTCCATGTGGTGCAGCGTGGCCAACGTCAGGAGGGGCAGGAGCTCTAGACACTGGGTCCAGAGCATTCATGGTCCTGAGTCTGGTGTGGACCACCAGAGGCCCACTGACGAACGGATTTTACAGCTGCAAAAGTTGCTGGCTGCTTCCACGGCTGACCTGGTTTACCCTCCACCCCACGGCCATGCTGTTTCAAAGTGACCCTAGAGGACAAAATAGAGTCGTTCCGTGTAGTTTTTAAGGCTGCGCATTCTTACAGAAGCAGACAACCTCATCTTTCTCCCAAGGAGTGGCTGGTGGGTTTTGAACAGCTGAGCTTGTGCTTTGACGCCCAATGCTTAACCCACTGAGTCACCCGTGGCCTGTTCTCTCTCTTAAATGACTTGTGCTCTCCGTTCTTACTGGAACTTTCTGTGACTCCACTGTCAGCACCGTGGGTGTCCCCGTCTGCCCCTCCACACAGCATCTGTCCATACAACTCTCATTGGAAGCCCAACAGAGAGAAGAACTCTGCAAAGTCCTGTCCCCGTGGTTGGGGGAGGCACTGAGGAGGCTCATGCTGGGAGAGGAGGACCACTCTGTGGAAGTGATGGCTGCTGCCTGAGCCCACTGGAAGGAATACCTAAAACCAAACATCACCCAGAGTCTTCAGACTTGAAGATAGCCCCTAAGAATGAGCCCCAAAGGAATGTGGTAGAGATCAGTGTGTTGGAAGCAGGGGTGTGGCTTTTGGAAGAACCCATTTATAGGACAAATGTGCCTTCTGGAAGGCAGCGTCAAAGTGTTGCTTCTGGTCACCTCGGAGGAGATCCTACTTGTACTGTCCTCATGCAAAAGGCTGAAGCCACCCTGGAGTCTCACCGTCCACCACAGAATGTCACTCTGTCCTGTGCTGCCTAGCACAGACATGGGCATCCATAGCTCCCTAGAGAGCAATGGTGCCATCTCCCATCTACAGCAGGTATGGGTTCCATTGGGCACCCAGGAAGAAGGTGTCAGAGAAGTTGAGAGGCCACAGTGGGCACAACCCATCTCCCTCTGCACTCCAAGCTCAGAAGTACATTGGCCTTTCCAAGAGCCCCCCAAAAGTTGCAAGAATGTGGCCAGAGCCACCCACACTCAACCCCACAGGACAGAGGGGCACCAAGGGCCCCTCCCTGGGGTATGGGCTCTGTGAGGTCACAGACTCAAAGTTTAGAGTTCGGTGACTCTTTTGGGATCCTGGGCAAGCCCCATGTGGGTCCCGTCTCATCTCCCAGACCTGCCCAGCCAGGCAGGACCTCCAGCACCTTCCAACACCTGAGTCTCAGGTCCACTCACATGGGCCAAGGGCACCCAGATGCCCAGCAGACCCCAGTTCTACACACAGGAGCCTCTGCTCAGGTTCACTGGTCTGTCAGCCCAGCTTGGGGTCCCTTTATCAGCCCAACTCAGGGTCCCTCCATCAGCCCAGCTCAGGGTCCCTCCATCAGCCCAGCTCAGGGTCCTTCCATCAGTCCAACTCAGTGTCCCTCCATCAGTCCAACTCAGGGTCCCTCCCTCAGTCCAACTCAGGGTTCCTTCCTTCGTTCCACTTCGGGTTCCCTCCATCAGTACAGCTCAGGGTCCCTCCATCAGTACAGCTCAGGGTCCCATTCCATTAGCCTGGCTCAGGGCTCCTCATTTCATGTGCCCAGCTCAGGGGTCCCCATTTTGTCACCCAGACTCAGGGTCTTAATTCTGTCTGTCTCGCTCATGGGGTCCTGGCCCCATCAGCCCAGTTTGGGGTGGCGGGTGTCCCAACCTCAGACTCCCTGTCCTTGATGGGGCTTTCCCATACCCCTCATAGAACTTCTTTCTCCACCCCATGGGGGGCTCCCTTTGTACATGCCCCTCCTTTGCTCTGTCTACACTCACGGGCAGGCTCTGTGAGTGTTCCCAGACCCCCTCACCCCAACCCTCCACTGTCCTCTCTTGAGGGACCTGTCCTTACTAGCCCATGAAGAACATGACAGCATCCCCACAGGACACCTTTGGGTGAGGCAGCGCTGGATGGAGGGGGCTTTAGGCTCCCCCCAGTCTTTGAGTCAGTGACACCCCATAGCCCCTCCCGCACAGTTCCCCCTCCAGCTCCTCTGCAGAGAAAAAGACCCCGTAACCTGAGAGAAATTAACAGACTGACACCCTTAAGGATGTCCAACCCTGACTATTAATCTTGCTTGGTAGGAACTCAATGTGCCTCTAATTATCTGCTAACCACAGGTCAGTGGTTCAAACCTACCTGCTGATCTTTGTAAAATCTGTACAGGATTGCTATGAGTCGGAACTGACTCAATGGCACTTAACAGCAACAACAACAAACAAAGCAAATCCTTTCTTTTATCCTGAACTTAATATTATGAAAAAACCTTAAAATTCAGGAAAGTAGAAAGATTACAATAAAGACCCGTACACCAACTACTTAAATAACATGAGCCTGGTGGTGTTATGGGTTAAGTACTGGACTGTTAAACTGCAAGACCAGCAGTTCAAATCCACAAGCCACTTCTGGGGAGAAAGATGAAGCTTTTTGCTCTTTTAAAGATTTATAGCCTCAGAAACTCTATACAGAATCACTATGAGTTGAAATTGACTTGATGGCGGTGGATTAGGTGAAACAGTTACTAACCGTTTATCATATCTATTGCGTGAATATACAAGTGTACACACACGTACACATGACTGAACCATTTCAAACTAATTTATAACCATCATGTACCTTAACTCCAAATACTTCAGTCTATTTCTACAGAGAACAAGCACAATACCATTTTCAAAATGATTGATAAAATTTGTAACAAATCCCTAGTAATTTAGAAAGCCCAGCTGTCAAGAAACTAGTTTCCAACTAGTTGTTAAGTGCTGTGATGTTGGTGGTGGTGATGTGCCGTGATCTTTACGGGAGCAGAAGACTCATCTTTCTCCCACGGAACAGCTGGTAGTTTCAAACTGCTGACCTTAAGGTTCGCAGCCCGATTCATAACCACTACACTACCAGAGCTGTGGAGTTGGTTCCAAATCATAGCTACCCTATATAGGGTTTTGGTGGCTGTAAGTCTTTGCAGGGAGCAGAAAGCCTCCTTGTTCTCCCTCGGAGCAGCTGGTGGGCTCGAACCATCAACCTGTGGTTTGAAATCCTGTGCTGATCCTATAGAACCACGATGCTCCAGAATCAAACTAAGGTACATTCACCTATATTACTTTGTCTAAGTTTCTGCTGGGCTAGAAAAAGGTCCTCTCCCAGTTTTGTTGTATGAAATTAACTTTCTCAAGAGCTTGCCTTGTTATGTAGAATGATAAAATCCTGACTTTGTCTGATGACTCCTCAGAGCACCCTTTAATTGTCCCTCTTTACTTCCAAGGTCAAAAAATGGGTTTGGGTAAATACATCCGGCATCAGCTCAGGGGAAACAAATCCCTGCTGTTCTGACCATCACTGATGTCTCCATTGAATTCGTGTGTTTGCTTCAGCTAACCACACACTGCAATTCATTCTGTTGATCTCAGTATAAAAGGAAAACAAAGCAGCAAATTGCTGAGAGCCCTAACCCAGAACAAGACCTTACAATAATCGCTCCGTAGAGGTGGCAGTTCTGCTATAGCAGTGAAATGAAAGCACTGGTGTTTGGTTTCATTCCCTTGGGTTTAAATATACATAGAAACAGTGTGTGTATGGGTGGAGGAAGACTCAGCTCCAACCAAACCCACTGCTGATAAGTCAGTTACAACTCAAAGCAACCCCATAGGACAGAGTACAAGTCTTTATGGATGGAGATGCCCTCAGAGTGGTTGGTAGGTTCATTGTGAGGGAACCAAAACCAATCTTTTGGTTAACAGCCAAGAGCTTTAATCACTGTATCCCCAAAGCTCCTTGGGTAGAAGTTTAGGGTTTGTAAACGGAGTGAGCGGGGTCATGGGATGATGTAAGAATTTCTTCCCTGGGTCTTCGCTCTCCATCATTTCTCCCCATGCATTTGATTCTCCCTGCAGTGCACACTCCTGGACTCCCTTGCACTCATACCCTAGCCACCTCCTTCTCACGCCCACCTCTAGGGCCTTGCTGGACTTCAAGCATG